CTCATCAGCCTCCTGAGTAACTGGGACAACAGGTGCATGCCACTACACCTGGAAAAATGGACACTTCTTGACATAAAAGCAAATTGGTTTTCAAATTGGAATAGTTTTTCAAAAATAATTTTAGTTTTTAACTATGCATTTTAAGGATGACATGTTCTCTGGAATCCCAATGGATAGTGTATTTTCATGTGTATAATGTAATACATTTAGTAATTGTTGGTGGCTACTTAAAATAGTTTAGCATCAAGGCAAAGAGAATATTATTTTGAGCCTTATGAGGTAGAACAAGAAGCCTACTTGAATCTCAGTTCTACTGATTGCTTATTATTTGTATTTTCTATAGTTACACATAACTAATTTTTAAAATTACAGTGACAAAAACAATTAAAAACTTTTAGAACTTGAGTTTTAAAAGTTCAGGGTGAATTTGATTTATATATAATTATTATCAAGGGTTCTTATCTTGACAAGCTGTTTTGTGGCAGAAAAAAATAGTTTACATTGCATTAAAAAGTAAGCAAGGAAAGAGATACAGTTTATTCATCATTTTTATAAGCAATCCATTGCTCGTGTTAGTTTATGATGTGTTTGAAAAGCTATGTATAGGCATACTACATCTGAAAAATGTGGCTGCCAGGAACTATTTTCCTGTTTCTGAGTTGATAAAGGACAACTTCATTCTAGTCTATTATCGAATCAACCTAAACTGGAACCATACCAGGCAATGCACATTAATATGTCAGTATTGACATGTTCTGATATTAGAAACAGTAGATTGTTGAAAGTCTTTGGAGTGCAAGGTGTTCTTTAAAAATTGAAGATTAAATTTATTAGAGTATATTGGGCATTTAGCAACATCTCCCAAAATCATGTTGGGTTAACTTACATATGAAAAAGAATTTACCACATACATGAGAAACATTATTTCAAATCAGTTGGGATAAATTATTTAATAAATTCCATAGGAATAAAAAGCTATCAATTAGAAAATTTAAAAATCCAATTTACATATCTACCTCACAACATATGTAAATAAATTCTAGAAGGATTAAAGAGCCAATTGAAAATATTTTCTAAAAGTATTAGAAGAAAATATAGAAAAAGTCTTCTTAAACAAGGCACAGAACCAGAGACCCAGAAAAGAAAAGACTGAACTATTGACTTATATTTATGTTTAAACCTTCTGGAAGACAAAGACAAAATAGGTAAAAGGTAGGACACAGAACAGGTAACATCTCTACACTATATAAAGAATATATATCATGGAAAAATGGTTTACTAATGAGATTTTTAAACTGATAAGGTATCAAATAAGAATACAGGCAAAGGCAATTCAATTAATAAATACAAATATCTTAAAAGGGAAAAGGTTCTTGAATGAGACACTATTTCGCTCTTTACATATCTAGATAAACCTAATAAAGACTGAACCTATGCAATGCTGTGTAGCACATGAGGAAATGGAGACTCACATGTATCACTGGGAGTATACATTGGAGGGAAAATTGGAAGCATCTATCAAAATTTAAAACCATGTTTCTTTCAATCCAGCCGTTCTACTTTCATGTAGCTATCCCTATAAGAATGTTTAAGCATATACAGAAGCAACCTATACAAATCTGTTCATGAGTTCATAATAATGGAAATTGGAAAGACAGAAATGTTCATAGGGGAATGGGTCATTATGTAATTATTTAAAAATTATGGTTAAAAGCACTAATAGGAAAGATTTCTATGAAATAAATCATTGAAAAAGCTAGCATTTAATACTGTGGGTGAGAGTATGTAACTTAACTACACTATGGTCTCATTTATTTAAAAAAAAACCTCACAAAACAAAACTATATTTTTTTTGTTTATGTATGCAAAAATATAGAAAAGAGTCACAGGGATGCACATCAAATGGACAATGGCTATTCCTTGGTGGTTTCATGGCAGAATGTGATTGGTTGGAGGAGGCCTACAGAGACTTTCACCTGTACTCTGTTCTTGAAAGTTAATTTATGGAAAAGATCTTCTCTGACATAAGGTGTTAATTATGCAATTAAAATTAAATTAAAAACAAAGCAAAAATACCTTGTAAGATACTTTGGGGCTACATTCGGCTAGTTTGCTCACAATGTTCTTGTGTCTTTCACCACTTAAGCACTCTGACACATAGAGCTCTACAGGTCAGATTGGCTAAGTGTGAAGTGAACTTGCTGTGTGTTAATTAATTTGCTCTTTTACAACGTTTCAGCAGAAACTCTACTTTATATCATTTAGCCATTCTCTGGCTATAAGTAATAATTGCAAAAGGCATTTTAAAAGCACTCATTATTTTTAAACACTTTAACTTATATTTATTCTGAAATATCAGGGTACCTTGGTAAAAATATCAAAATTCTAAAACTAAAGGCTTTCTTTTTTTACTAGAAAGTAAAAATTACATATATTTATAAGTTTAACACAATTTATTAAAATTTCTGCCAAGTGTTCCTATTTAACATCTTTCTAGCTTCAGCAACAGCAATATATTACTTTCACATTTTTTAAAATACCATAATAATAGTGTGAAGCAAGCTTGTGGAAAAGTTATCATCTTCACTTTATACTGTAGTAGATTCAGACTACGCCAACATCCAATCAGCCAGAATTAGGTTTAGGACTCAAGTTTTCTGACTTCTGGTCTAAGTTTTCTTTTTATTTTCCCCCTACTTCAGACCATCTCCAAAACCTACATGTACTTTTTGAAATTTTACAACAGTGTTGTCAATACTAGAAGTTTTACTTCTGAAGGTTAAAATACAGCATGTTGTAGACTGGGATTATAATGTAGCATAAGAAGCTGTGTACAATGCAATTTTGAAATAGGTGAAATCTAATATAATAAATATATTTAAATTGTGGATGAAGAAGAAACTTTCTTCTTGCATAGAGGAAAACCTTGCAAAAATAAAATTTTAGTCTATCACCAAATAAATGCTCATTTGTTTTCAGAGAGGGCTTCTTCACACTGTTTTATTTTTAAAATGAACCTTCCATTGTTCTTTCATTTTAGAATGGATTCTAATTATTAAACTACAGCTGAATATATTAATGACTTCACCTAAGACTAAGATGTGTATTATTCCTATGTCAAATAAAATATTTTTTTGCAAAACATTTTTGCTATATATTTTATTTCAAGCTTTAAGAAAACAAATCTTACATGTCAATATATCTTAAATCAAAGTCCTAAAAATGCATTTTAAAATTCTGTGAATACTTCATAGATTTACAAAATCCACAAAGTAAATTTTATCATTTGTTAAAGTACTAAAAGAACAAAATTCATTTGTCTTATACTAGCATTTACTATATAGCATATAGCTAAAAAGCAGTAGAATAGTATGAAATTGCAAGCAGCTACATACATGCCTGTTGCTTTACCTGGACTGGGGAAGCTGATCAAAAAATATGTCAGAGAGCCATGTACAGCTGATTTCATTATAATATCTCCTGACCATTATCACTCATAGAGATCCTAAGAGTATTCGATGCTTTCCTCCTATGAATTGTCAGTTGGACCTGCTTTCTGTTGTGAAACTTACTTGTTGAAAATCGGTGGCTGAAACCTTGTGATGTGTCCCTGTCTTTAGTTTCTACAGCGAAGTCTGTAGACTCAAGCCTGTACTGAACTGACTCTACAAGTGCAGAGAACAGCCGTGGGCTATGCAAGAACAACTTGTGTAATAAAAGAGAACGAAGGAGACTGGGAAACATGATCAAATGATAACATGTATCTTTCTGGTGCGCAAAAATGTAAACCTACCCTCCTTTCTGCTTTAGATTATGTCACTGCCTGGTTTCCTGTCGCATATTTTGGGAGATGATAAATTGAAAATTCGAAGTTGTGATTGTTCTTGGAAAGATCAGTTTTAGTTTATATTTTAACACTTCTAGGACACAGTAAAGGGAAATGCTTAGGTGGGCCTCTACCTCAGAACTGGCCAGTCATCTTTAGAAAATAAAAGGACAAATAATGCTATGTCTTTTAAATCTGGGGGAATCTACTTTCGCTCTTAAAAAAAGATAAAAGGGTCACAGGGGCAGCAGGACCGGCATCCAGAGAGCAGGCGACTTGGTACTCAGATTCTCAGGGATCTTCTTAGCTGCCAGAAATTCTAAGCTTACAGTTACACCTAAGCCAGAGCGTGGTTGCTCATATTTGGTGGGTAGCAAAATACCATCGATAAAAGAATCTGATAGACATTCTCTCTCCTTACACTATGTCCTAGCTCGAGATTTTTCCAAGTTCCATTCTCTTTAATACATACAGATCGCTGGCTCTGGGCTCTTTCACACCTGGGTCACTCTAGCTTGGGCACCTGGGCTGACCTTGACCCATCTTTGCCTTCTCCCATCCTCTTCAGCGCTGGGAGTATGTGTGGCCCTGACTGAGACAGCCAGGACTTCAAGAAATCCAGTGACACCAGAAAAGAGTCTCCCAGGACACAAGAACCTCCGGCAATAGGCTCCTGCGTTGTAGGCGCAAACCAGATTTCTAACTTCAGCTAATCCAGAGGAAAATATAGGGCGCGTCACAGTGGCCTCTTCTGACTAGCCACGCGCGGTGAAATTTCCAGCACTCCGACCAGCTAAGACAGTGGATTTGCACCACAGCCTCTCAGCTCCCGGAGCCTGAGCCGAGCGCTCCCGGCGGCTTCTCCAATTTCTCGCATAAGTGCGAAGGAAATAGCCCCTTTTGCTTCGCGACTGCAAGGCCAGGGGATCTGGGAGCTGCGCCCGACTGGGGAGGACTTCGCGGCCGGGGGCTCCCCAGCGGCGCTCCGGCGGCGGCTTTTCCGCTAGGGGTTAACAGCAGCTCCCGCGGCCGGGCGGGCGCGGATGCTTCCTCTTCGCCCGCCCGGGAACATGGATACTGCGCTCTCAGGATGTTCGCCGGCTGGGCCAGGCAGTCAGGAAACATGAGAAGGCCTCGGTATTCCTGTTCCCGGGCCGCGCGCGCCCGTCTGGGTAAATAAAGCCGAGACGACGGTGGTGGCGGCGGTGAGCGCGCTGGAGACCGCGCGGCGAACATGCGGCGGGGATGGGAGTGCGCCTAGCTTCGAGGTGGGAAAGCCAGCTGCCCTGCCACCCGCCGCGGGACCGGTTGCTACAGGTATAGCCCTTGAGCCGCTGTGTTCCCGGGACCGCGAAACGTGAGGCTTGCTCTGACCCTCCAGCTTCTCCTTTCTTCAGAGCGTCTGGGCTCTCCCAGCGCCCCCCCCCACCCCCCACACACACTTTCTTCAGAAGTCTGGTTGGGATGCGCCCAGGTGGTGGCCCGGGGTGGCCCGAGGGTATGTGTAGAGCCTGAAAGCCCACCTGGCCGCGCATCCTTTTCTTTAAAATTATTGGCTGGTCTGGGCGGGGCAGATTACTCCCTGGAAGAATTTGGGATGAATTGGGTAAGTGTCGAACACAAGAATTAAAAGGTGCTGGGTACCCCTCGGGGAATCCTGGGGAGAGTTAAGAACCGATGATCACACGCTCCGGACCCACTGCAATGGGACCGAACCCTGGGACCTTTGCCACCTCCTACCACCGCGCGTGCTGTCTGCAGTCCTATTCAGCGCGGGGAGTCTGTGGTTGCAATCCTTGCGTGTAAAGGGTCCGAAATGGCAAACCTCGCCATTGCTTCTCTAGGAAAAGCACGCCCTTGCTATAGGAGGACAGGGCTGGGATAGGGACCGATGGAGGGACTGGGGTAGGATGTCTTGTACAAAATAAAACAGAATGAACGCAAATAACTAAGAGCAATGGTTTAAAAAGAAAATAAAGTGACTGTAGAAGAGGGGCTTCGGACAAGGAAATTTGCTTTGACATTTATTGCGGAGGCTGTGTGCACATCCCAAGCACGTACCTGTCTGCACGGGAGGACTCAGTCCTAGGGGACACAGGACAGCCAGCAGAGGTCTGACTTCAGCTTCCTCACGAATACTGATGGTGGCCGTCGTTTGATTACTGTGTCTATGGCCCTAAGTGTCGCGCGTGGCCGTTGCTGCCGTGGCCGGAGGGCGGGGCGGGGGGCGTTGGCGAGTATAGGAGCTGGGTGAGGTAGAGAATGTGTTGTGTGTCGGGGAGGGGAGAGGGGTGCAGTCAGTACAGCGAGCGGCGGATTGAGGGGGCGTTGGCAACGAAGTGGAGGCAGCTCTAAGCAAAAGGGAGCTGCCCCGAGGTTTGCGGCGGAGAGATGCGGTGGGCGAGGGCGTCCGTACACCTCAGGGCGATAATTGGGGTGTCCTCTTGCGGCGCAAGCTTGATCTGGACGTTTGCACTTGGGAGGCTGCAACTCGCAAGGTGAGCTGCAGGCTTTCTCTTACCTACCCAGGCAGCCTCAGTCTGAGAGGTGCGCGTTCAAGGCTGCCTCCTGTTTAAGCTTCAGATACTTTGCAGCCTCTGAAATGGGCTCTAATCGCTGATCTCCCACCTGCACAACACTGGCTACAGTAACCCCCGGGGACTCAGAAACGGGTATCTTGAACCTGCCAGAACCCTGAGCGTTCTGCAGCGGGTGGGGGAATGATTGGAAGACTGAGGGAGTGGGGAGAATGTTTGTCCCTGATGCCACTTAGCTTTCCACCTCTAGAGTCCATTCCTGACTTTCCCCTGCTCTCACCGGCAACCTAGGGACCACAGCCGAAAGACTCAGGGGTATCAACCAAACCATCCAGGATCTAGAACTCACGAACCCCCCTGAAATTCCGTTATGGCCTGTGACTCATTAACTGAGCCTTGAAACACAGTTGTTCATATTACCCTAACTCTTCCCTTTCTTCCAGCCCCAGTGACTTTAATCTGATTTTGTGATTAAAGAACACGCAGCCTTAGCCTATTCTGGTCCGTTATTCCGAGCGTACTTCTCCCAGAGATCGGTAGGCTTGTTCGGGAATTACTTTCCTGTGCCTCCGTGGGTAAATTATTCGTGGTTGAAGTTCCCAGAGGTGAAGGTGGGCGTTTCATCGCCAGAGCAAGAAGGGTGGGGACCTGTCCCACGATTGTGCTATGGTCGTGGGGTTTGTGGAGTGGAGAGGGAGGATAGCCAGGTAGGAATAGGCGGGCGTTCCCTGGTCCAGAAGCTGCGGTGCAGCTCCACCCCTCGACTCTGCAGCTGGTCTCCCTTGCCAAATTCAGGGCCCCGGACCTGCAGGAATCTGTGCACTGTCAGCGAGTAACGTGATGCACCTTTATCTCCTAGAACCCGAGCCCTGTTGTGGAGCTCCTGGCGGCCCGGCTCCGAGGCGCTGCGGCCGCGCCAAGCGTCCCTATCAACCCGCACCATGAACACTATCGTCTTCAACAAGCTCAGCGGCACGGTGCTTTTTGAGGATCGAGGAGCTCCAGAGCGGGAGCGGGGCGGTCGGCCCTATGGCGGTGTCCTGGACAGTCCACACGCCGGTCCGGAGGTGGGCATTCCCGACGGCCCGCCCCTCAAGGACAACCTCGGCCTGAGACACCGAAGGACCGGGTATGCGTGCGCTCCCGGGGGCACCATTGGCTTGCAACCCAGGGGCGGGGGGTGGCGAACGACCCAGTAGTCAAGGGGAAACTGACCCTCAGGTCAAGGTCCCGGAGTTCGCCCAAGAGGGCAGATAGGCGCCTTCTGGGACCGCGCGTCCTTCTTTTAAGGCATTAGCCTCTCAAAGCTTGCGGGATCCATTCGTTAGAACAGTTCCAAAGAGGGGTGTTGAAAACTGAGTTGGAACTGTCCCCAGTCCTCAGCTACCTGGACCTCAGGGTAGCTTCTACCCCTCTCAGTGCCGCGGGCACACAAGGGACTGAGAGAGATGCATAGGAATAGGGCAGGGCTAAGTAATCGGGGATTCCCAATTCAGCCTCAGAGGCTTCCTCTGGTTACTGGAGGCCCTAGTGGAGGCCTCGCGGCTCGCCTGGCCTTGGAGTAGGTGTTGGAAAAGGTCGGCTTCCGCAGGGCGTCCCAGGAGTGCGCTCAGCTCGGCGGGGCCCGCAGCGAGCCCGGAGGGAAAGGCCCGGGGCCTGCCGCCCCGGGTTTCGGTTTAGCCGGGTGAGTGGGATGCCTGGGGCCGGGAGCTCGCGGGTGGGCCATCTGCTACCGCGGCCGGGGCGTGGAGGGCAGTCTCCACCTGGCCAGGTCCTGGCGGTTCCTGGCGCGGCCCTCCTGGGGAGGGGCGGACGTCCTGGCCACCTCCACCTGAAGGATTGCATCAGCTGCTTGTTCTGCGGCGTTGCTGGTTAGTAAAATAGAGATTAAGTTTCATCAAAATGTTACTACCAGTTGGTTCGGATGGAATTGCATTTCAAAGTGTTTAAAGAGGCAGAAGCCCAGAAGGCAGAGGCGCAGGCGCACTAGCTCTACAAAGCGAGCAACCCCGTACGCTGGCGGCTGCGCGGCGACACCTCCCGGAGCCTTCGGGGAGCGCAGCGCCAGAGAGCTTCAGGTTCTGGACTGTTCTGCCTCTTCCACTTTGAAAGTGCTTTACCTGGAGTCTGATGGGTCAGAACTTTACATCCTTTTCACCCTTCATTAGTTGGGAAACGACCCTTAGGGGGATTTTAAGATTCCGTATTCATCTTCCACAACCTTTTCTTTGGAAAGTTTCCCCCTTCCCCCCAAGGATCAGAAGAAATTGAGAGCTCAGAGAGCTGGGGCGGCCATCATTCTTTGTTTTATTCATGCCCTCCAGCGGGTGACTCTTTCCTTGACCACAAGCGACTGAAGCCAGGCAACATCCTGAAAGGACGCTGGAGAGTGGGCGGCAGACCCAACTCTGCTGATAGGGCCACGGCTGCTCAGGGCGTGGTGCTAGCGGGCACAGAAAGGATTACAGTTCGTCCTGTTTTCCAGACCTGCAACCTGAATGACTGTTCTCAGCCTGATCTCCTAAACACCAACCGAGTTACTGGGTTCCAGGTATCCCTCCACTCCTTTCGAGTAAAACATAGAGTCTTGTCCTGCACTGCCACACGATCCTCTGCGACACGCAGACCGTTTCAAAGAGAGACTCTGAAGAGATGATACCCCACCCAGAAATCCTGTGACTTTCTTCCCTTGCTTTGCCCCAGCCTCAGGGCTCGCAGAGCAGTGGTGCACAACCGAGCTAAGGTGCTCTGCGGCACCCGGCTGGAGCTCCTCGGTGGTTCACCATTGATGGGGGCTACGGCCGCAGAAATACTTCCTTGCGTAAAGGGTTCTAGCTTGCAGACCCCAAATGGCTCCGCTCACCGCAGCCTCCTTCTTTCTCCGTGTCCTAGGGCCCGGCAGAATGGCGGAAAGGTGAGGCACAAGCGACAAGCCCTGCAAGACATGGCGAGGCCCCTCAAGCAGTGGCTTTACAAGCACCGTGACAATCCGTATCCCACCAAGACCGAGAAGATTCTCCTGGCTCTCGGCTCACAGATGACGCTAGTGCAGGTAATCGCGACCCACCAAGCCCTGGACCTGTCTCCCTGTGAGCGACTGAGAAGCTGGGACACTTAGTTTTTGTTCGTTTCTGAAGGTGGCGCCTCTCACTGGGGACCGGTGAAGCCCAGTGGAGAGGGAAGGGCGGGTCAAGAAGCTCTGGCTTTTCCATCTGAGGATGTTGAGGAGTAGGCACAGGTGCATAGTTCTGCTGTGGGGAAAGTTTTTGAGTTTCTTATCTATCATTTCAATGAAAATATCGGTTCGGGAGGGGACTGAAGGATGAGCCATTAGGGAGAGGAATGGAAGGTCAACTGTGGAGGTATGAAAAAGTAGTTGGAAATCTGAACTGTACAGCCACGTATGGTGCTATCCACAAGTGAATTTAAGACTTTAGTGTGCACTAAAATCGCCTGGAGGACTTGTTTAAACAAATTGCTATGCCGCACCCCACAGTTCCAGTTTCAGTAGGTCTGGGGTGGGGCCGATGATAATTTGCATTTCTGACAAGTTCTCAGGTGAGGCGGTAGCTGTAGGCACTGCACATAGCTTTGAGAACCCTGGACCCAGCTTTGAGAACCATTGATCATGGTGCAGCATATTGGAGCCTCACATTAAAGCTCGAATACAGAATAAACTTCAAAATTACCAATGACAGAGGGTAGGAGGGGAGATGGAAGGAAAGGCAGGAAGTGGTTTGGGGTACTTTTTTTTTTTTTTTTCCCCTAAGTAAGAAGCTTCATCATGGCATTAGATGGAATCCACAGCACTTTGCTGCTTGTACTTTTCCATTCGGTTTAAGGAGAGGAGGCAGATTTCAGATTTCAGATGGCTGGGTTCCTTTGTCAAGTGTAGAGAAATGGTGCAAAGCTTGTTTCTTCTCTAGTGAACAAACACGACTTCACATTTGACTAACTTTTCTGAACATAGTCTTATTTTGTATTCACAAAACAGAATGATGTAAAGCAGTTAATATTATGCACATTTTACAGGTGACATAACAAAGGCCCGTCCTTGGAAGTTAAGTGTCAGTAAGGGGTGGAGGTAGGTCCGAAAATAAAAAATAATGTAATTCGAGATCAAATGATTTTTTCATCACACCATTTTTCTTCAATAAATGTGATGGCATAGGCTTTCATACATGCAAACAGAACAGATAGATTCAAAAAGAGGAGGAAGAACTAGATGGGCTAGGAAATTTTATATATCACAGTACTACATAACTGTGAAAATTTGGACATTCCATTAAATTTACAATAAGGGGGAACCCCACAATTTAAAAAATGATAAAAATAAAAAATGTTTCCCAGAACATTTTTTGCCATTTAGGAATTACTGGAAAGTTTGACAAGCATGAAAATTGGCCTGTAGTCAGGCTGATCAAAATTCTAATATGTATTTTTCTGTTTATTTTCAGAACAGTTGTAGAGAGAAACATCTGTTTTTCTTCCTATTAACAGGAAGTTTTATTATTAGTGATTTGCTGCGGCACTGGAGGGAAAAATTAACTTAGTGTTCTTGGCTTGCTATCTGTTTAACATAAAACTATGGAAGTGATTTACAAAAGTAGTTTCTAAGAAAATTATTACAATCAGAAAAACTTGCTTATGAAAATAAAAGCATATGCTCCAATTTCAATTTGAACAGGTATGCTACTTATTTTGAAATACACTAATTGGTAGAGTTGTTTGAATATTTTACAATGATGTCAATAAAATATCACAGTTTTGATTGATTATATTATTCCATATTTAATGCTTGTCTTGTCATTCTTTCATAGAGAAAACAAAAATATTTAACGTATTTGAGAACTTTGTTTTGAAAAAGAACACTTGCCATTAGGAGAGACATTTAATTTTTTGTGTAGTTTTGTTGAGCTGAATTATGAGTAGTTATAATTTTAATACAGAATCAAATTATTTGCTACCTGTAATGATAGTTTAAATACAAATAACGATTCTTTTTGCAGTTAGAACTTGGTAAGGCTATTATGTTTTTTCTAATTTTCATTCAGCACTCTTTTCTTTCTCTTATTCTAGTTCTTAAAAAATAGAGATGAACAAAAATATGTAGTTTTTAAACAGGGAAAAGATTATTTATAATTAGTGATACCTATATAATGATTTTCAAATGTTACCATAAATAAAGTTTAAACTTTAAAGTGATAAATGGAAAATGTTGAAATATATAGAATTTACAATGGGACTTTAATATATAATCTGCTTTGGATCTAGTTATTTTCAATTAGGCACAATTTTATGTCTATATAAAAAATGTATGCACACAAACACACATAACTATTTCTATATATGGGGGTTTGTATAAGTCAAGCATAAATTAGACATCCAAAGCAAATTCTGACTTTATGGAAAACTGCATAAATTATGTAAATACTTTACACTTCTGGAAAAAATATATAAAACTGTGATCTGAGTAAAGCTTTTGATTCTTGCAAATTAGATTCTATGAAATGAGTCAGATTCTCCCAGTGAATAAATTTCTCCTGTGAAGCCAGGCTTCTTGAGAAGAGTGATCATGTCTTATTCATGGAATTCACATGACATATCACTTCAGCATAGTGCTTCTCATACAGTAAACTATCTGTACATGTTTGCAGAGTAAATAGCTTCCTTTTGGGAAATAAGTCTATAATGATCATGGAGCCTTCCAGCATATCTTTCTGACACCTAAAGAATGTCTTGAACTCTAAAAAGATGTTCTAGATTTAAAACCTATTTTGTTGTAGAGAATACACAGAGGGAAGCTTATTATATTTAATGCTATATGATGGTTCTGCAGAATAAGCACAAGTATATCCTATTTTATTTTCAAAATATTTGAAAATAGGTCCTCTATATCTTCAGACAAAAAGGGAGTGTTTCCTTATTTCTATTCAACTCCTATTTCTTCTTTCTTGCAGTACCTCCTATCTCCTATTTCTCATGGTTTGTATTAACAAGCTGTCAGCATAACTGTTTTATTCCTTAACTACAAAAAAAATCTTATATTCTGGGAATTTCTTTTACACTTAACATTTTCCTTTTGATCATGTCAGACTTTTCAGACAAAGTAATTTTATTTTGCTACCTTTATATTGATAAGGAAGGGTGTGATACTTGGTCAGTTATCTCCCTTGAAACCTACAAATAAAAAGATGATTTTAAAAGATAACATATTTTTTAGGACTTCTAATAAATAGAAGCTCCAAAAATATTAATCAGCACCTACATTTTTTATCACTGAAAAATGAAACAGAAAGAAATGTTCATGCAACTTTCATTTATTTTATTTATTTCTATCCACTTTACTTAGTAGTTTATCCTACTTTGCTATAACTATAACTCTCATTTGCATTATTATTCTGACATCTTCTTAATGAGATATAAACTTTTTAATAAAATTAACAAGGATGATTTTTTGTGTGTACATGTATGTGCACATGCTTTGATTTTAACTGTACAAAATATTCCACTGTGCTTTGTTCTTATAGCTGTCCATTGTTCAAACATGAAAACATACTATGTGCTCTCGAAGGATAAACAGCTTTATTGTGGGATCATATAAAATGGTATGCGATTGGAGTTTGTACTATTGTAGTATATGGAGTTTACCAAGTAAATAATAATTGCATGTTGATACTTTCTCCTCTTATAATACAAGTTTCAAATTCCTGTAATGTGTCCACATACAATTTGGTTAAAACTTCTGTGTTGCAAGATTTTCTCCTCTCTGTTGACATAACTCTGTATTTGCTTGGAATTGAGTGCTTCTGCTGAAATATGTATGGCCTTAATAATTACAAAGCTTGCAGTAATTGTTAAATATTCAACAAAACCTCAGATTGTCCCTTGCACATTTTTCCAAGTGGCCAGCCACACAGTATGGAAATGAAGTACTCCATATTTCAGTTAAATAACTCAAAAGAAGTTTGTTGATTCAGTGTGTTCAAAGATGGACACATGCCAATTTATCCCTTTGGGTTCACTGTAATGATTGCTCTGTCAATATGATGAATGTAAACACCTCTGTTAGAGGAGGATGAAAATTGCTTAGTTTTCTCTTCCAGTTTCTAGATGTTTGGCTCTTTAAGTTTTCACTAATATATATATATATATATATATATATATATATATATATATATATATATATGGGTTTTTTAAAGCACTTAAGTTTAAAATGCTGTTCTAGAATCTCCCCGGGGCTAGAGGTCTGTTTCATGTAAAATACGATTTAAAGAGAACTGAATAACAACCTGAAAGAATCCATAGTATGTAAAAGACAGAAAATGTGAACTGGTATTTTAACTTTCAGTGAAACATGGAATTCGCATGAATGCATCAGAAAAAAAATTGCTAAACATATGCAAATTCATTAACCTATGATTTGCCTTCTGTTTGTAGGGACTTACTGCAAGGGGATATTAAACACCTCAGACTATATCCAGCTGTACTGTAAATTTCTGTTAGTAAAATATTGGCAAAGTATATTAGCAGATTGGGAACCAATCAAGCTTATGATATCAGTTTAGAAACAGTTTATGTTAGATATCAGCAAATCTTTCTGGAATATTTCCTAATTTATAACTATTATAACATGGTAAAAATTATGAGTATATAAAACATTAAAAAGGATATGACCCCTATATATGAAAAACTAGTTAATCCTTCATGACATTTAAAGGTTCTTCATTTTTTACATTAGAAATATAGTCCACTAATTTTTTTAAAATTTTAAGGCCATTGCATTTGTATTATATGAAGAGTATCATAAGAATAGGATTTTACCCTGTTTTATATAGGTACAGTATAAATTAAGATTTGTTAATATTTAACTAGTTCAGTCTGAATTATATGCTGTTTAGTAAAGTAACAAGAAATTTTTGGATTTGGATTCTATTAAATCTGAGTGATACAGGCATGGGGAAGTTTCAGGCTGTCCTTGGAAGGACAGAATCACACACCCCTGATTGCTAGAGAGAGAGTAGTGGTAAGAGCAGAAGGTAGGTTTGTAACAACTATAAAGGGAATTAACTCTGGTCTAGAGGAGCTTGGGCTGTATTCACGGGTCATAGTGTTTTAGAGTTGGGAAGAATATTATGAACCATCTAATCCATTTTATAGATGAAGGATTTGAAGTTCAGAAAAGTTGAATGACTTCACTAAATTCACACAGCCTATTTCTGGAAAATTCAGGACAAGAAACCTGATCTCTTGTCATTAGACCACAGTTATAGGATGACAGGACATTAATGAGGATTTGAAGAATTTAAGTGATAAGTCAAAATGACTCATCAAAGTTTGAATTTCATGATGGTTGTTAAGATCCACTTAAAAGAACAGAATGGAAGGTAGGGAAGTTTGAAAGAAGAGTATTCTAAAATTCCTAGTTAGTCGTTAGTCATACGGATTGGGACAAAAGTTTTGGCAGTGAATTGAAGAATCAGGGAAGTTGGACAAATGTAATGAAGAAAGGGACCAGGTGCTTTGTGCTTCCACAGTGAATAGCCACCTGTGTATCACAGTTAATCATGTCTCATTCTTCACTGTTAGTCTTTCCAGGAGTGCGGGGGACAAAGCTTATCCAGTCCTGGCACTTAACACCGTGGCTAATGTACAAAAGCTACTCAGTATATATTTGTTGAATGAGTAGTCCCCGTGAGAATTTGAAGTCAGACTGAATCATAGTAATAATAGCTCAGCTTGACAAGAAGTCAACGAAGACTTAGACTTCTGAAGTGCCACGGTGAGATATTATATCCTTGCTCATAAATGTGAAGGCCATTATCATTGCTGAAGGCAGAGAGGCAATATCGAACATACTGAATTTATATGGGAAAACAATCATGTGTTAGCCATGGGGACAGGGAGGGAAAAATATAATTTTGCTTTTTGTTTTTTAAGTAGACTTCACCACAGTTTTATTCAATAATTAGGGTTTGGGCAATATGCAAAAAAATTGGGTATTTTAGTATAACTCTAAAAAGAAAAGAAAAGAAAAATGAAACTTCAGTGAAAACATTGCCACACAAACCATTATAGTAACATGGAGTCGTTTTCTGGAACAAATTGGCAGAAAGGCTGAATTCTCTTCCCATGTTTCATTCTTTTAAAAACAAATATTGTCCTTTGCATTTTTAAAAATCTGTATACTGATGATATTCTGGATGTTTTAGAAGAAACCTCAAGTACCATTTTAGCCTTTGGAAATCCGATGGCACCTTAAAAAAAGAACAGAAATGATTTTTGTTTGTTTGTTTTGGAGTGTCTATTTCTTTCACCCATGTGCTTAAGAAACAGTTTAAAATGGGTATTCTCTGGCTTCTTTCCTCCCCTTGCTTCTCTGCTCCGTGTCTGATGGTTTTGTCACCCCTCCTCTTTCAAGAGTCCTGCCTCCTTAGTCACTCTTGGTTTCCTAAGCATGGCCCTTGACAGTCTGCCTACTCACAGCTTCAGCTCTCACCTCTGTGCCTCTGCCTCTCAAATCTGATTTTCTCTCCTTGAAGTCTTAGATACCAGTTTTCTTTTCTTTTCTTTTTTTTTTTTTTTTTGCAACTTAATGAGACCCTGTCTCTAAATAAAATACAAAATAGGCCTGGGGATGTGGCTCAGTGGTTGAGGACTCCTGAGTTCAATCCCTGGTACCAAATAAATAAATTAATTAATTAAAATTTAAATTAAAAAAAAGTGATTAAGTAATACTAATGGAGAAGTTATTTTTGGGGAGGAATACTGGGGGCACTTGACTACTTGAACTCAGGGGCACTTGACCACTGAGTCACATGCCCACCCCTATTTTTTTTTGGTTTTATTGATTTTATTTTTTTAAATACACAATAGCAAAATGCATTACAATGCTTATTACACATATAGAGTACAATTTTTCATATCTTTGTATATAGAGTATGTTCACGCCAATTCATGCCTTTATATGTGTACTTTTTTTTGCATTACAATTCTTATTACACATATATACCACAATTTTTCTTAAAATCAGCATACTACAGGGACATAGCCACATCAATGCTTATAGCAGCACAATTCACAATAGCTAAACTGTAGAGCCAACCTAGATACCCTTCAGTGGATGAATGGATAAAAAAAATGTGGCATATATACACAATGGAATATTACTCAGCAATAAAAGAGAATAAAATCATGGCATTTGCAGGTAAATGGATGGCGCTGGAGAAGATAATGCTAAATGAAGTTAGCCAATCCCCAAAAAACAAATGCTGAATGTTTTCTCTGATATAAGGAGGCTGACTCATGGTGGGGTAGGGAGGGGGTGCATGGGAGGAATAGATGAACTCTAGATAGAGCAGAGGGGTGGGAGGGAAAAGGAGGGGCAGGGGATTAGTAAGGACAGTGGAATGTGATGGACATCATTATCCAAAGCACATGTATGAAGACACAAACTGATGTCAACATACTTTATATACAAACAGAGATATGAAAACCAGTTTTATTTTCTTGCTGGATATCTCGCCTGTATTCTTTTATAGCACTTCAGAACTAGATATTCCCCAAACCAAAGATGCCATTCCATCCTGACAATGGTGCTGTGCTTTCTTGGTTACCCAGTCATCTTTTAACTCTTCTCTCCACCTCATCCCTCACGTTTCTGGAATTGGCCTTATATTTGCTCCCCTGTCCTCTTTCTTGAGAAGATACTTTCCTTCTATTCCACCAACCATATTCCGGCTTTCCTTCAAGGATCGGCTTAAAATTCTCATGAAGTCTTGAGTCACCTCTGAAAGTAATTCCTCTTTGAATTCCTGTAACTGTTTTTTTTTTTTTGTTAGTTTAAGTTGGGGGCGGGTGCTTTTCACTATGTTGCCCAGGCTAGAACTCCCAGGCTCCAACGATCCTGCCTCAGTCTCCTGTGTAACTGGGATTTTAGGCACACACCATCATACCTGGCTTCATTTTATTTTAATGCCTTATCTGCTATTTATCACATTCGTTCCTATGACAGTTATTTGTATATTCTCCTGCCTCTCTCACTAGACTTTTCTCTTTACTAAGATGCTTTGCTGGCAAAGCCTCTTTGTTCTGAGACCCAGAATATAGAAAGGTCTCCTTCTCTACAGAATGTGCTCAGCATGTTTGTTGAAGGAACAAATGGATATCAGTGCCTAGTCCTCTTGTGTCTGATGATCCAAGATGCTGAGAGAAGCTTAAATCCTTTATGAGAGTTGGATTGGGTGGCACATGCATGTAATCCCAGCAGCTCTGGAGACTGAGGCAGGAGGATCTGGAGTTCAAAATCAGCCTCAGCGAAAGTGAGGCACTAAGTATCTCTGAGACCCTGTCTCTAATAAAATACAAAATAGGGCTGGGGATGTGGCTCAATGGTTGAGGGCCCTGAAGTTCAGTCCCATCAACAACAACAACAACAACAACAAAAATCCTTTATGAGAAAATAATTGCATAATGAGTAATGTTTTTATGTTTCATTAATGGAAGAATAATACTGTTTTAGGTGTCAAATTGGTTTGCCAATGCAAGACGTCGGCTTAAGAATACTGTGCGTCAGCCAGATTTAAGCTGGGCCCTAAGAATAAAGTTATACAACAAGTATGTACAAGGAAATGCTGAGCGGCTCAGTGTAAGCAGTGATGACTCCTGTTCTGAAGGTTGGTTAATAATTTTATTTTGCTTTCTTTTGCTTTGCCTCTCTAATAAGAAGTTCACCTCAACTGCTATTTTTAAGGTTGACCTCACAAAATATGCTGGTGTCATAACGGTTCTTTTCTATTGCACGAGGTGACTTCATTTTTACAATACTCTAAAGGACCAACATAATTATGGCCTTTTCCTCTTGCTTATAGACTTATCATGGGTGTGTCAGAATAGCATTTTCTGTGAAATTCATTAAAATTAAAATACCATAAGGGAGAGATTACATAGATGCTCTTTTCTTTTGCCTAAAAATAATTTTATACATTATACTAAGATAATTTTATACATTGTATATGTTCTTCCTTCATGTATGTTTTTAATGATTAAATATGATAATCAAGTGCTTGAGGAAAGTGTGTTTAAGTGCTGTTTAGTGATATGTTGTCTCCCTAGATGGAGAAAATCCTCCAAGAAACCACATGAATGAAGGGGGCTATAGCACTCCAGCTCATCATCCTGTGATTAAGAGTGAGAGCGCAGTGATAAAAGCTGGAGTGAGGCCAGAGTCACGGGCCAGTGAGGACTACGTGTCACCCCCCAAATATAAGAGCAGCTTGTTGAACCGTTACCTTAATGACTCTTTGAGACACGTCATGGCCACGAACACTGCCATGATGGGAAAAACAAGGCAAAGAAACCATTCAGGATCTTTTAGCTCCAATGAATTTGAGGAAGAATTGGTGTCTCCGTCATCATCAGAAACCGAAGGCACCTTTGTCTATCGCACAGGTAAGTTTGTGCTTTCTGTTGTGATTACTGTGATACCTTATCTAAATCAGAAATAAAACTGCAGCACAGGAATTTATTTGAACAAGTAAAACAGCATAAGGTTATTCATGTTTTGTCCAAAATTCAGTTACACAAGCTTTTCTTTTGTTTTCAATTGTTGACGGATATGTTTGTTAGTAGATGATGGTCTTAGAGATATCGAGATAGCTTCGATATTAAAAATGTGGACATAAGTTTTCATTCTTAAGGATGATTTAGATCTTAATGGTTTAGAGAAGGTATATATATTGCCATTTCCGAAAAACTTATAATAGAGGAATGTGCTAGATTATAGACAGTCATGCAAATACTTTGTATTCCATCTTTTCTCTTGCATGTTTTGATTGCTAATAGTGATAGGAAATGAACACATATTAGCATGGGTGCCCAATTTTTGTGAAGGATAAATATAGGTCTGGCTTCAACTGCTTCAAAAGTTTTACTTTCATTCCTGGAAAGCAAAATAGGACTGATGAAGAGTTTTGAAATTTTTACTTTCATTCCAGAAGTAACAAAGTCAACTTCTACCTGTCAAAAATGTTCAGAGGAAATAGCAGGTTTGGTAAAAATTTTTATCATGACTTCAGTTACCAGAGAGATGTGCTTTTAAGGAGTGTTTGAGCAGGTTATTTTGGAACAAGGGATATGTGTAACCTACATCAGATGTAGTTAGTGTCAAGGTCTTGAAAATGCCAACAAATGAGCTTCAATGATAGATCTGGAAACAACTTCAGAAAGCATCCAGTCCAACCTTGTTAAATCCCAGATAAGAAACACCAGGCCAAGAACACATAGTAGTTGCTCTTCTGCTGAACAGTGCAGCAGAGCTTGCACAACCACTCCTACCAGACTGCTGCTGTTATTACACCTGCTACCACCGGGTAGTGAGTAGTTCCAGGATGCTAGGTTCATGACAGATACCACACAACTCATATTACATTTAATCCTCATGATATAAAAGAGCTTGAAGTGTGAACTGTAGGGCTTTAGAAAGGCATCCAAATTTAGTTTGTTTAAGGTACCCTTCAGATTCTTTAGCCAGAAATATTGTGTTCAAGTATCTACAAAGGTTTCCAAGATATATTATCTAGAAGACGGAGAGAAAAATACTTAAATCCACTTCATTTTCTTTTTGCATCGATTACTCTAATATTACAAACAACACCAAGCACTCAGGAATACAAAAACAATCTGTAATTAGTATCTAGGAAGAAGTAAAAAAATTAAAAGGCCATTTATCCAATAATTAAAATGGAGAAGCCTCATATTAATATCTAACTAGTGTGACCAAAGCAGAATACAGAGGTAATTCAGAGCTTTGTGAATATTTATTTTCAGAAAAAGGAATAGAACTCAAGTCATTCAAATATAGATAACTACAAAAGGAATAAAAATAAAATAAAATGGAAAGATAAAAATAGATAAAGTAAAAGTTGACACTTTAAAAGCAGTAATAAAATAAGCAAGCAAAAATTGACACAATTTAAAGTAGGAAATGACAAAGAAGATGTGGCAACTAATACATAGTTACTAAAAAAATTTTTGTAAAGGCCACGATGAGGTACTATATATAGTTGTTTGACAATATAGTATATGTAAATGTGTATCTGAAGTGAATTGGTGTTGGCACATGAATTAAAGTCATAAGTAAGGAAAGTGTTAATAACCAAAACTTAGGAAAAATTCGGGATTTCAATAAATATAGTTCCCAAAATGTGTCACTTGATAAATCCATTTTTTTTCCAAACTTTGAAAAAATAATTACAATGGCTGATGTTTTTCTGGAACAAATAAAATTATGAGACATATCCCAGGTTTGTAAAAGTATAAATGTTATCCTAATCCTAAACCAGATTAAGATAGCATAAAAGTAAAAATTTTTATTTTTGATACTGAGTATGTATCAACAGGAGAATATTTACAATGTAGTAATAAGTCAAAAGCAACTCAAAAATGTGAAAACACTGAATACAATTATGATAATACAAATGTTCATGGACAAAAACAGGAAATATTTTTGGAAAAAAATGAAATTAATCTTAATAAGGTACATTCATTTGTAATTAATTATTTAAAAATCTTTTTTTTCTTCAGAAATTTCTTTACATTGCCCAGTAAAAACAAGGTCATATGCCCTGTGAAATTTATCCATTTTGGTAAGACTTCTGAAAATGCACACTCTTTTCAAAGGTGACAATTTATAAAGTCAGAGAGTGTAGCTTGCCTGTAATTGATGCTTTTCAAAGTTAAATATCTTGGCTATTTGTTTTTATTAAAACATTCCAAATGCCCTAGGTCCATATTAAGGACTATTTATTTGCCAAATTCTATTTCTTAAATACAAGCCTGTTTTTTAGTTATGTGACCAATGAGAAAGCAACCAAAACATGTATGCTTCTGGTTTTTCATGCATGTGTATAAAATTAGAAAGAAGAGACAGAATTTTATGTTTTTTTTTAATTTTTAGAAATGAAGAATTAAGAAAGACTGATGATCTAAGAGTGATCTACTGAGTTTTAGATCAAACAATAAATGGCTGTCTTCTGTGGGAACTGAGTGACAGCATCCGGGCAATTGTAGCTGGGTTAACATGCATGTATAAATAATAGAATGGGATTTCAAGAGATGCTTTCTCAGTAACTGCTATGATTTTCTTTGGCATAGAGGCTTGTTCTGAATTCCTTCAATTCCATCTGGTTATATTTTTTTCCCCTCACCTAAATAAAAATTTTTCTAAGTCTGCTATTAACTCACCCCACCCCTACCACCACAGTGCTACAGTAGTACAAAGATTTTTAACTTTCAGAATTTCTTTTAAGAACATCTCTAAGAACAAGTTCTTAGTTTTTCTTTGCTAAAAAAATTTATGCGTCCACATTTGTATAAGAGTTGTTAACTCATGATGCATTTCATTAAATATAGACAAATGAAAGTTGGTGTGTAGAAGGATAATGGGTCACTGGGTCTTACTTCACTTATTCTTATTGAATCCTAGGAGGGAGAAACCTTGTAGATTATCAGTAGTCATCTTAATTGAAGACATTATTACCAGAAATCATCAAAGCAGATGCACATGTTTTTTATTAATTTTATGTAGATGTTAGGTCTCTACCATCTGCAGTCTTATGGCAGGGGCACAGCAGCCTCTCAATAAATATTGGTTGAAACACTTCTGACAACTGTAATTATAACATTACAATTGATTGGAAGTATTAAAGTTACTGCTTTTAAACACAATTAAGTAACACTCAAGGAAATTAGGCACTTGGTATATTGTTGAATGAAGTCATGTAAATTAAAGTTGCAATCAATTTTCATCATGATAGGTTAATGAACAGTAATTTTCAGACGTTTGATGGGGTGAATCCCAGTTACAAGTTTGCATTCAGGCATCTGGCACCTAGAGGATTCTGAGGTATCAGGATAAGAGCTTTACTCTTCATATCGCTTTCCACTCCCATCCTCTTTCCTCGTATTCTCCAGATGGAACCATCCATGCCACCTTATAGTGCAAGTACCCACAGGAACCTCACCTAACTTGGATTAGAGTTTGACTTTAGCCTCAGAACCAAGCCTATTAAATCTTCTCCTCTTCAAAAGAGGAAAGAAGTTTCTAAAAAGTGTGATAAGGGGAAATCAGGCAAGCCTTTGATCTTCCTCTCTTCTGCTCAGCCTAAGGGCAAGTTCTTAGTGCATCTTTTCTTTTTCTTTTCACAGCTCACAAATGAAGAAGTTATAAATGAGTAGAACATTCAAATGCTTTTTTCTCTGAGCTTTACTGCTGGTATTCAATTCATAAATGTTACCTGCTACCAAGAGGTGGAATGTATAAGCTTCATCTTGTTAAACTGTCTTAATTAGATACATCTGGTACAGCCAGACCATCTAGGAAATAGGACTGTTTTCTGTGTTCGTGTGAATTAATCAGGTTAGCTTCCCCTCTGCTGGAAAGAGCTAACTATCCTTGAAGAAATGGAGATTTTGATTGAGAAAAAAAAAAGTCATTTTGCTTAGTTCATGGAATACTGTGGGAGGGAGATTCTATTTAGATTGCCTCACAGTTGGAGAATTGTAGCAAAATGAGAAAAAGAGGTGTTTTGTTTGCTGAAGAAAGAGGAAGTAGAAAGTTGGGAGGATGACAAAGGTCAACTGCCATTTCTAAATCTATCTTGGGTGATGGTGACTCTCAAAGGCAGAAGCTGTTCTCTGTTCTTCCCCCTCCCCTTCTTGCACATTCCTATAGTTTATAATTTAAACTGGTTATCAGTAGTAAAATCCAGGTATGCTAATGAGTTTAGGAACCCGTTGGATCAGCCTGGGATTTCTTCTTGATTCACAGCATCGTTTCTTTGGAGAAATACACTCCTCTTGGTTCTAAACAACTGAGGAAACAAGTCCTCCTCTAGGAATAATCTATTTGTAGCTAAAGTCCTCCCACAGGCATTCATTCACAGCAGGAATGTTTGTAAAAGCCATTCAATGAAGGCCCTGTGTTAGGCTCATGAAGCCCTGCATTTTGTGCTGGGCCTCTTGACAATGGAACATATTTTAATGAACCAGAAGAAAGGTTTTAAAAGATGCTTTGCAATCATACATGTACCTAGGGTAATGATGTCCCTTTCATTCCACCCACTTTCCAACCCCAACCCCCTCCCCCAACTTTGCCCCATTCAAAGTTCCTCCACTCATCCCAAGCCCCCACAAAAGATGCTTTGCAAAATCTTTTGAATAGTTAATAATCACCTCTGATTGATCTGTATCAATAACTTCAGGATTAGTATATGGGGGAGCTTCAAAACAGCCTGAGTGCATTTGTGTCTGTGCTGGGTTTCTCTGTGGGATCTTGTTGACCAGTAAATCTATTTCAGCTACTTGTCTCTTATTTTTGTTCCCTTTTTGTGCTGTCACTTTCTTGTTTCTCAGTGAAAGGATTAAGCTTTGCCATTTTGGATTATTCCAGA